GACCGTAGCCGAAGTAAAACATGTGACACTGGGTCACTGTGGCCGTAGCCGAAGTAAAGTATGTGACACTGGGTCACTGTGGCCGTAGCCGAAGTAAAACATGTGACACTGGGTCACTGTGGCCGTAGCCGAAGTAAAACATGTGACACTGGGTCACTGTGGCCGTAGCCGAAGTAAAGTAGCTAACAATTATAATTGTAAAAGTAAACAGAAGTGCTGAGTTAGACTGAAGCATAAAGACAGAATAAAATATAAAAAAATATAAATAAAGAAGTAAAATTGGCCAGGGCCATAATAAAATATAATGACTGAGGTCATAATGCCCGTATCCGAAATAAAATGTGTGATATTGGGTTACTGTGGCCGAAGCCGAGGTGAAATGTAATGCAGCATTATTGTGGTTGAAGGCCGAGGTGAAACACTTTGCACAATTGAGAATATGCAAAAGGGAACAGAGGTGTTGCCTGTAGAAGCTTCTCCACCTCTTCTTTGACAGCCTGAAGCCTCTCCCCCCCAAAGAGACGCCGCTTCTGGGCCACTGGTTTCTTCAACGGGTTGGTACTGAGCTTATGTTGACATACTGAAGTTGGAATTCCTGGCATATCCGCCGAAGTCCATGCAAATACATCATTGTTAGCTCGGAGAAAAGCTATCAGTTCTGCTCTCTCTTCCGGGCTCAATCTAGTTCCGATCTGCGTTTTTCGGCTCGGATCTCTGTCATCAACGAGCACTTCTTCAACATCTTCAACCGGAGCAGCTCTGGTTTCATCATCCAGTCGATTATCAACGATCTCTACACCCATTACCTGCTGATTATCAGGAATTTGCTGGGGAATGACCTCGGGTGTTTTATTTTTGCCCTTCGTTGGTTGTGTTACCGAGGTGATATAACAGTGTCTGGCCACCTCCTGATTTCCTCGCAGTGTTGCTATTCCCATAGGAGTGGGGAACTTCATGCAGAGGTGAGATTGGGAAACCACAGTTCGGATTTCGGTCAATGTGGGTCGGCCAATAACAATATTAAAAGAAGAGGCCATCTTGACGACGAGGAACCGGACTGAAGGGGCGACATAGGTCCGACCACTCCCAAAAGCCACATGGAGGGTAAGAACTCCTTCTACCGGAACAGGTTGGTTGTCGAAACCATAGATGGGACCATCATACTTCTGCAACAATGCTGGATCCAGTCCCAGACTCTCGAAACAGTGAAAATACATGATGTCTGGTGCACTCCCGGTGTCAACAAGGACACGTTGTACTTCACAGTTATTAATCATGACAGAAG